ACATGGTTTACCCCAAGCCTTCTCCAGGCTAAATCATAGCAGCTCTCTCAGCCTTTCATCACATGACAAATGCCCTAATCCTTCCATCAGCTTCATGACCCTTCACTGAACTCACTCCAGCAGGTCCATCTCTCTTCAGTACTGAGGAGCCCAACACTGGACCCAGAGCTGCAGTGTGGCCTCACCAGAGCTGAACAGGGGCCATCACCTCCTGTGGCCTCCTGGAAATGCTTTACCTAATCCTCTGCCCAGTACCCTATTGGCCTTCTCTACTGCCAGGGCACATTGCTGGCTTGTGATAGACTTGGTGTGAATGGCAGCACAACCCAGTTTTCAATCCTCAGCTGACTTGCTGTGGGTACACTCTGCTGCATTATTCAGGTCATTAATAACTGGAACAGTATTGGACTCAGTTTTCCTCCATGGGATACACTGCTATTGACTGGATTCTGACTAGACTTGATGCTCACAACCCTCTGAGCTTGGCTGTACTCACAGTTTCAGTCCAACTAACTGTCTGCTCACCATTCCCCTTCTTCAGAAGCAGGAAAAAAAAGAAGAGCTCTTATATTCTTTTATAAAATAAATGAAATGATATAGCAACACAGTCTATTAGCACAGGGTTAATATCTGATTCCACCAAGTGAGGCCAGCTGGCATATATTTATTAAAAGTCCTCCTCAGCTCTGGAAAATGCTCTTCTTTCCAGTTACATTGTTTTAATAGTAAAATGCTGTTTTCTGGCTTCTTCATTTAAAGCTACAATTTCTTATATTCCACATTTTGCCTAAGAGGTACATGTGAGTCTAGCTCTCTGCTCTGATTACTATCAGCCCCTTACTCTGTTCACCACTCAGACGACTGCTTTCTGCTCCCGAGTTTAAATAAATGAATCCGTGAGGTAGTCAGCAACCTGAACAGTCCACCTTGCTAATATATATCTGTATTTTCTAATTTTCTGAAAAAGTATAATTTCTTAAGTTGCGAGGACAGTTGGAGAGCTGTGTGCTGCCACAATTTCCTCAGCACACATGATCCATTTATCTTTAGATTGGTGCTTGTGTCTCCTCTTGCTTAGAGGAACATGCATAATTGCTGTACACACAATCTGATGAAGGAATCGGGAAGATAAAGGAGAGCACTAACAGTACTAATGAAGTTTGTAGGGGGATTTCAAATTATAAGGACCCGGGCATCTGTGTCTACTTCATTGCAAACAGAGGAAAAAAAGAAGCATTTTTGCTAGCATTTAAAAATAACTGTCCAGTTTAAAAACATGTGATTTTTTTTTAAATAGGTGGAATATTGCTCTATTATTGTGTGATAACTCTTGTTTTAAATAATGCCTATGGTATCATGTCCTGTTGAATATGTACTGCTATCTATATGTTACAGCTATTTTAATTAAAAATTAAGTGAAGTCTCACAGATTGGTATGTTATATTTGTCAGCTACTTTGACTTTATTAGCTCATGAAAGGGAGTGTCTAGCAGAATTACATATCTCGGTGATTCACTTTAGTAAATTGCAGTAGCATCTCTGAAATGAATTTGGTTGATGCATCAAGTTTCTTTAGATATAGAATCTGCCTGACTCCTCCTTCCCCTGGGGAATCATGAAATACCTGAGTACAAACTATCTTGAATGTCTTCATGTTATTTAGGCTAAATGGTGCCTTGGAACATCTGTTCCAGTAGCTCCTCCAGTGGAGATTTCTTCCTATAATAGAAAAGCTTTGTGAAACACTCTTTGGGACTCAGCTACCTGAAGTGAGCTCCTCTGACAAGGAGAAAGTATTTCAGTTTGCTTTACTAATCAAATGTGCCCATCAGATTTGAAGCCAAAGGTTTTCAGCAGTAATCATCACACAGAAGGGAAGCTCCAAAAGCAGCCTTTTCTCTTACTCCTTCATTCATTTACTTGCAATTTGGATTGGAATTTACAGGTTAGGCTGTCTTAACAAAGGTCATCAGTCTGCCCTTCTTTTTTAGGATATAAGTGAAATTGGAAAGATTCATCTTTTCTTTAACGGGTGCTGTTCATAAGGGCTTTTCAAGACTACTGTGCTTTTTGATAAGGTAGATGGATACCTGTTCTTTAAAGAGATTTAGTACATTTAATAGAAGTTTAAAGAGGATATGCTGGACACTGACGGAGAATTTCAAGCATTAACTTTAATTCAATAAGAAGTCCTTTCTTTAATTGGTATTTTGAGATTTGACTAGACTGGAAACATGTGATTTTCAAACGGCCAAAATGGTTTCAGAAAATGTCCCAATATTTTCAGTAAGAATTATGTGCCTATATTGCCTATAAATCTTTCAGAAATCAAAATTCACTTGCTGTTATCAGACAGTATGGGCAATGATATGCCAATGAGGAACTGGAGTTTCTTGGAATTTATCCTTTTCTAACAGAAAACTGGATTTAGCTTAGGAAACAGTCTTTTTTATCTTTTTCCCTTAATTGTTGGCTTTGTGGTGCAATACTGGCTGGGTTAACTCTGCTATCGCAGATACTAAGATTTTAATTATTTTGTCCATCTAGACATTTTTCTATGCTTATCTATGGAAATTTCATAACCTGCTATAAGCTATAGTGAAAGTGACAAACTTTTATGAACTCTGTGCAGGCAGCCTAGTCTCCAGAGGATAATTTTGTTTCTAAGGAAAGGAAGAGTAAGACACATTCAGACTACCTGCTAAGGTGCCTTAAAGGGTGGATGGTGGTTTACTACAATATTTAAATTGAAGTGAGCAGTGAGTGATTCAGGCAACTGAATTGAGATTTGCTAGACCTGTTTTCCCCACATTCAGTAGATACAGGCAAATGCCGTATTCAGATCACCTATTTTTAGACCCCATAACTTTGGTTTCACTTCATTTTCCTGGAAAATTCCACCAGAGTTGTTTCTGTTATGATTAGAAGAAAAAGAAAAGACAGGATGCCTATAAAAACAACTAGGAAATAAACTATCCATGAAAATCTGCTTTACTTATTAGCTTTTAGATCTCACCCAGAACAAATTATGTTATCAAATCCTGCTCCTTGGCAGGATGAATCCCATATTACTTTCCTCTTTAATTCATCATAAAAGATCATAAAATAATTTTCTTCCAAAATTCTATTATTATCCTTCCCATTTTATGAACTTTTGTCCTAATTTTATCCATAAACATATGTATTATCAGTGGAATAACATGGAATCCTAAGAAAATCTTGATCTGTATGAATTTTAATGCAATGTTATATGCAAAGCAGGTAATACAGATACTTCTGTAAAATTCTTATCTTGCAGTTCTTAACCACAGCCTACTATATATGGAAGGAAAGCAGTCAAAAATCAGCGTTACCCTCTATAGGTTGACTGGGACCACCTACCGCATGTGTAACTGTCCTGGAACAAGTAAAGCACTGTGTTTCATAATGTCAGTAAGAGTAAATTTAGTATCAAGCCTGCTGGCTTGCCAGAAGCAATTTTCTTGAGCTCTTGAGTTTTGTTTGAGTTTTTTTCCTTAAATCATTTTTGATAGTGTAGATTCAAAGTTTTTCATATCAGCCCAAACCACTGCAACAGTTTCACCATGACCTAAACACCAACAATATTAGTCACTATTATCTTTTAAAGAACCTGTTAGACTTCCTGCACTTGCCCATCAGGATAGCAATATCTGTTGCACACCAGCCTGATCAAAGATAGCTTCTCCTTCAGGTTCTGAAAAAACAGACTTCTCTGCAAAAGGAAGTGGCTTCCCTATTGTGACAAGTTCTTGTGTAACTCTTCAGATCAACAGTTTGTGTTTTACCAATTTTGTTGGCAAATTTAATCAATTGAGGAAATGCTACAGATTCAGGTATCTGAGAAAATGCTTATAGCCACCCAGCTGGCCACCACCTTGCCTGAATGGAAAGAATGCTTCCAAAGTCTTTCTCTAAGTTTTAAGATCTGACCTTATAGAATGCTGAAACAAAAGTCATACAACTTTCATACCTGGTTGCTAAGAGGAATCCAACTGAGGAGTGCTGAAAGCTTTTCTTATATTTTTATTGGTTAGAAAGGTGAATCTACCCAACCAAAAACGTGTTCCCTGGAAATGGGAACAAAATACTTTTTAGATAGCTCATTAAGTTTTGCATGATTCTTTCATTTCACCCCAGTGCATTATGATGTCTGTCATCAGCCTATGGACTCTTGAGTACGTGGACAGAGATTATATATTTTAGAAAGTATTAGTTATATAGAGTCCAATATCCCCAAAAAGAGGACGGTGAATAGGTTAATCACAATGCTACTTTTATGTTAGTAACAGGGACATATATGTTTAAATGACTTCTATGCCATGGTATTAAAAACGGAAATAAGAAATTTAGAAAGACTTTATCTATGTAAATCTTTCACTCTCTATATAATCTACTAAACTACATAACATCCAAATCTCAAAGAACCAAACTGTACTGTACCAGTTCATTCTGTATAGCTCCTTGGTGGAAAAAATATGGAGGGTAGAATTTTCTAAGGGAATAGGTCCATTTTTGCTGAAGAAAAAATATCTGCAAACTTGTGACAGAATTTATACGGGCAATCACTGATATTATGTAAGCAGATCCAGCAAATACACTTGCAAATTATCAGTGCAGGCATCCAGCTGTAGCTGATGCTTTGCTTGTACCTTTGTGAATATTTTCCTGGTAACTGCATGCATTAAACTATTATTTGGATTATACTTTTTTTTTTTGCAAGCATTTTTAGCACAAACACACCTCCACCCTCCTTGTTTGAAAGTGATGGTGTAGTAAAAAGTATTTGGAAGACAGACTTAGTAAAATAAATGTTAAAAGAACACAGTGGGGTATATTTTCAGTGTGGAGCAGAGAGATTTAACTGCATGACTTCCATTAGCTTTAATGAGAACTGCGCAGCTAAATCCTCACACCCCATACTGGAAGATTAACCCAGAAAACACACAGTGTTTACTTTTTACTAATACTCTGATTATTACCACGTTCTTCCTCCTCCTCCTCTTCCTCCTCCTCCTCTTCTTCCTCCTCCTCCTCTTCATCCTCCACATCTTCACCTTCCTCTTCATCCTCTTCCTCTTCTTCCTCAATTTCTTCTTCTTCTTCTCGATCTATCTCCTCCTCATCCTCCTCCTCATCACCTTGCTCCTCATTGTCGTCAGAATATTCCTCCTCCTCTTCATCCTCTTCCTCTTCTTCCTCTTCTTTTTCATCCATCTCCTCTGTGCCATCAGTTTCATAGCACTCATCTACTGAAGAGTTGTCTGTTTTAACCACAAAGGGTTTTCTTTTGGCAGCTGGTTCTTGGGGTTGCTTATCTTGTGTTTTTCTTTTTTTTGCCAAAGGACAGCCATAAACACTGTTCAGAAATAAAAGATGCATCTTATTATACTATCCTGCAATTTTTTGTAGGTCAGATTGTATAACTTCTGTCGTTCAGTCATTTGTTCTATTTCTGCACTGTGATTAGTTGCTATTCTCAAAATGCAGGTTTTCAAACTGAAATGCTGCTTAGGCAATAATGACCAAGGGGGAAAACACAAACAAAACCTCTGAACTTGCAAGCAATTATTATTTGCCTGAAAATGTTAGACATACATGCCAGCATAGCATTTACAGAACTAATACAAATGTGTATTTTTCTTAATTTTTTTCTCTCTTAAGGCAGATGTAGTTAAAACATAGGAAACTTCTACTACCTGTTAGCTATTAGTACAATAATTAGAAAAAAAAGTAATACTACATAATTTTATAAGTCAGTAAGGTTTTGTTTGTGCAAAACTAAGATGTGTTGCTGCGCTATTTAAATAATGAAATTAGGACTGCTATTAATATTATTAAAAATAATGAATCGCTTTTACATTTTCCACTGTTCTTCCTCATTGTTTGCCGCAAGGTTAAATAAAAGGGAAACACAACCAAAAGTAACAGTTTTCAGGGCCAATGCTGGAAGTGTTCTCACATTGACAAAATCAAACAGTAAATAAAATCCTTTGCCAGTGAAGAAAGTCAAACTTATCCAAACATAAGTACCACTTGTGCTCTCAGCATTTTAATAAATCATAACATTCCACAATAGCCATAACAAAATTTCAGATTTTTGAACATTTGTATTATTTTTCATCAGACTAGCCACCTATTTCTCAAATGTCATGTAACCTGTTTTGTTGAACATGATCATCCTTGCATAATCCCTATAACCTTCTACCAAGAGTGACCACACACGCTAATTATTTTTTGTTTTAAAAATTTTGTATTGGAACATCTTTAGCATCTTTAGCAACCAATTCTAAGTGCTACCCAAGTCACATTGATTTTCAGTCTCCTTCCTGTGATTGATCAGTTTTGTGCCATTTAAACAGCTCTCAGTACTCCTTTCTGTACTTCAATTTATAGTCTCCTCTTTACATTATATTTTCTTACATCATATTGTGACTATAAACCACCAAGGATCTTTATCATCTTCTTCCTTTCAAATTCACAGACCACTGAAAAATAGTTTGCCATAGTGCTTAGTAGTACATATTTACTCTTCATGGTATCTGCATGGTGTTGATCTTGGTCAGATTTAGTTGCAACCCAATACCTATGAGTCCCAATTACTTTACTCACTACTAAGCAGCAAGTAGTCCCTTTTATTTAAGTGACTAAATTAGCCACTGTTTTACCTAAATAGTAATGTTTTTGATCTCAGGTAGGCTGGTTCAATTTTCTTAATGCACTCATATCCAAGTATCATATGCAGTCACAGAACATGGGTATGCATGATGGAAAACCTGCTAAGGGAGAACTCTCTGCTAACATAGGTAGCACTAACTCTCTGTGTAGAGACCGTAGAGGTCTCTAATGTCTCTAAAGTCTCATACCGTGTGCCTAAATTAGACATCTACCTTCATCCATTAACACTATCGAGAGCCAATAAGAAAATCTAACCAGATTCCAGTCCTCATCTGGGAGCAGGTAGGTCCTAGAACTACCTGTAACTTGCAGAAATGGACACCAAAGTGAGGCCGAATGGTAGAGGCTCACTATACCTAGGATAAACTGATAGCCCCCAAACTCGAGGAACCTTCTCCAGTCAGCAGGTAGGGTAGTATATGCCAGGTAAGAGCACTCGCTTCTACAAGCCAAGCTCCTGTGCGGCTGCAAGAAACTCACAGTCCAAAGCCCAAATCTTTGCTACTCTTAGAAAATTAAATCTGTGAAGGCAGGAGGTCTACGCTTCTGGTGTCTTCTCTTTGGACTATCTTTCTATTCAAAGATTCTTCAAGATAAAACATTAATATGCCAAGAATCCTTGTTCCTAAGTCCTCAGTGTTACTCTCTGCCAAGTCGCAATCCTTCCTGCTGCCTGTGATTCCTATATGACCTGTGAGGACAAAGTTGCACAGATTTAAGATGAAAGATAGAACATACCTTCACAAAGAACATTCCGCACTGAATCATTGCTTGAGGCATAGGTGGGTTTTAGAAACTTGCATGCCAGTTCAGTGCATGAAAATAGGGCAATATTCATTCAGTGTGTCTTAGTTTTTTGTGATGGTTTCTGTTCCTTCTCATTATGGTTTATATTACCTTCACAATATGTTCTTCAATGCCATTCTCCTTAAATGATATTTTCTCTAAAGCACAAAATCACAAAATGGTTGAGGTTGGAAGGGACCTCTAGAGATCATATAGTCCAACCCCAGTGGTTAAATCAGGGTCACCTAGAGCACATTGCACAGGACCCTGTATCGTCTGTTTTTGGGTATCTCTAAGAACAGAGACTCCACAGTCTCTTGGGCAAACTTCTCCAGTGTTCAACCAGCCTCATAAGTGAAAAAGTTTTTTTCTTAAATTCAGACAGAATTACCTGTGTTTCAGTTTGCACCCACATGCTTCTTGTCCTGTCACTAGGCACTGCTGAGAAGAGGATGGCTCTGTCTTCTTTACACCCTCCACACGAAATATTTGCAGAAACTTTTAATTTAGCAGTGCCCGGAAGAAGTCCCCTAAGAATTCACAATAGCTTAGAACTGGCAAGGAAGACACTATTACAATAACTATCTGTTATGTTAGTTAACTCAGAGTCACTTTTTATAAACTTCTTCCTAATTACTTTGTATCAATGTGCTATTCATTTTCTCTACAGTCCTGAATTTATTCTTGCCTGTGCTTGGATTTAGAGTTTGCAAAGCTAGTACTACCAGGGTTCCTCTTATAAAACCATTTAAGGTAGAGTCTTACACCAGCTTCCTTCTTCCTTCTTCCTACCTTCCTTCAGGTATAGCCAGTGAGAGTTAAAAAAAAAAAAAAAAAAAAAAAAAAGCCCTATGGAAGCCTGGGAAACAGGCCACCAGACCTGGAACCTGTGAGTTAGCTGTCCTATTTTCCTCTTTCTCTTTCTTAACCTATTCTTCTTTCACCCTTTGTTTCATTAATTTTTCAGATTCTGCCTCCAGGACACTTCTCTGTTTCTGGCATTTTCTCTTTGGTCCCTCTGGCGAGCGCACTGAGGGAGAGGAAGTGCTCAGCTTGCCAGCAATCTCCACCTCAGCTGTCACTGCCTTCCCCTCAGACACAGGAGGAAACTACCATCTTTCTCATTGACCTCTTGCTCCTCATCTATTTGCAAAATCTGTTACTGCTTGTCCTTGTCGCTTCTGCAATTTTCTTTCCATTTTCCATTTTGCCTTTTGTGATCATTCCCTTATTTGCTTATTTTTTCGACTTGTTTATTCCTGCTCATAGCAATGACCCCATTGATTTATCTGTCTTGTATGCTTTTATTTTTTTCTTTCACTTCTCACTGTGTTACCCTGGTCCACTACATTTGTCTTATTTTCCCCTCACAATCCAGCTCCCTTGGCTTTCAATAGAATACATATTGGGGCTTCCTGAAAAAAACCTTGGAATATTACACACTTCTTTTCTGTATGTCTCAGCCATTTCAGTTTTTCAGAGGCTATCATAAATAATTCTTCTGGAAAGAATGTGTTAGAATTTCATAGCAATAAAATCCAAGAGGTTGTATAGACATTAATAATTTAAAAAATTGAATGAATTGTATATGCATTTATATTCCTTAGTTAGAAGATTATTTTTGTTTTGTTTTGAAACTCATATGCAATTTTTATTCACTAAAAATATTCACTGCTACTCACTGTCTTTGGGACTCTACTTCAGAAAACATGACTTTTTTCTCCCCAGAGTTCAACTCCGTAACTTTGAATCTTTTGATACAAATATGATATTAATTTTCAACATGATTAGAATGGCTGTTACTTCTAGGCTGCAACGACTATACCTCTTTTACTTAGTATAGAAGAGAAAGGAAGAAGAGGAATAAGAAAAAGAAGGGACTTCCTAAATCAGATTAATGATCCATGTTCTCTTTTCCATAATATGCCTACCTCACATAGCACAGGCAGGACATGACACCTGGAGGAAAACACCCCTAACCTAATGTGTGTCCAAGAGCCAGAAGATACAACTGATTATATCTTGCTGCCAGACCCAGGGACTGTTCTAAGAAAACAAGATAGTCCAAAGAGCAGAGATTTAATGATTCATGTTGCTTCAGTAGATGAAATACATATAATCAAGTTTTGCTAAGTGGCTATTGATTCTGGACACTTCAGTGATGATTTGGATGTAACCCAGACACCTCAGAATGGAAGTATGCAAAACTTGTGACCATTTCTGCACTGACTCAAAATTCTGAATTCCCCAGTAACTTAATCAATCTAATCAGGAAGTGAAACATCTGAAAAGAAAACCTGCTATTCTTCAGCACACAAACAAAAATGAGGTTGGCAACCTTGAGCTAAATTAAAGCAATACCTAGAGCAGTCAAAATGTCCAGGTTTGTGCATATTCTGGGTTTTCAGCTTCATTATAATGACAAATTTGTTAACAGGTAGAGGACAGGTTCCAAACCACTTTTTTCATGATAAAATGATATCATAGAATGGCAAAAGTTCATAACAAATAATTCACTAATTTGTAAGGGTTAGATTACGCTACAAGAGTATATCTATCATAACAGAATTTTTCCTGACCACAGTGTTTGAGCCTCAAACATGATATGAAACATTTCTATTCCAATATTTTAAAAATAATTGCTTTTAAGAAATCAAACATGCTAAATTCAAACATTCAAAAATGAAGGGAAATAAAAGGCAATTCTTGTTGCTGCACTGTCCATCATTTAACATTTAGGTATATATTAGTACCATCAACACCCTTAGACACAGACTTGATAGATCATATTTAACAACATAGCAGGTCAAACTATCATTCTAGACTGTACGTAAGGATTGAGTAATAGAGTATGCTGTCATTTTAGCCTATCTCTAATGTAGGGCTACTATAACG